TTTTCCTATTCTCCATCTTCTGTTTGAAACATACATACACACATAACAAGAAAACAAAGCAGTTAGGTTGATTTTGTAGGTCTTCATTGTTAGTGATTCTTTAGTGCTTACTGTCAGAATATAGGTTTCTATTTGTTTTAGTTGACAGCTTTCTTTAAATTATGTCACTGAAAAGGATATTAGTTGTATAAAATCAAACAAAATATTTAATTTTTATTATTATTAAATTTTACAGGTGGATGTTTCTTACAGGTTTTTGTTTTTATTTTTATTTTTTTCTGAAATACTTAATTGTGCAGATTGTAAAACAGATTTGTGTATTTTCATTTAGGAACACTTTTCTCCTTAAATTGTTCTGCAGAAATGACTATTTTTAGGGAAAATAGTTTTTTATAGCCACTAAATTGTATTTGTTATTTTTGTACATGCATAACCAGGGTGGTGAGGAAGTAATATTTTAGGGAATACTTTTGTTCTATTTGAATTTTTCCTATACATTTATTACTTAAAATTATCACTAAGAACAGTGTCATGAAATCTAGGTGGAGAGTGAATACAGTAAATATGAGAACATGTAGTTCGAATAGATACCATTTCTGAAGACAAAGGGAGAGAAATATTGCCACTGCCAAGTAATGGAAGTATAAGGGCAGTGTTCACATTGTGCAAGTATTTAAGAGAATGTATAAAGACAAAAATCTTACTTTCATGGATATAAATAGTTGCTTAAAGTAGCTGGAAGGGGAAAAATAATCTAAAATACGAAATGCAGCATGGACGCCATATTGTAAACTGTGCCAAGATTATACAAATTGTAGTTGTTATTGATCAGAGTTTAGTTATTTCATCATTTTTACTTTAATAGGGGATAATGAATGTCAGAAAATCTGTAATGTTTTATTTGAAAGATGTAAATAATGTATACAGACTTATATGTGATGGGATGGGGGAAGTATTTAAATTCTAGGTTTTTTTAAAAGGAAGAAACTGAATGTTTATAAGAAAATTAATAAATAGTTACTATGTTTGGCCATGACCTGACTTTGCATTGGTGTTTATTTTTACTATAGGTATTCCTACACTGAACACATTCCAAGGGAAATTGAATATACATGGAGGATGTTTAACATTTCAAATTTATTAGGTATTATTTTCTGTAATGTTCACAACCCTAGGAGTTAGTAAATCTCAAATGTTTTATATCCTAGAAAACTAGAGCACAGAAATTGTAAAATTTATTGATGCTATTTTACTATTGGTCTAGGGTTCAAAAACCCTTATATGCCTGAACTTGAAACTAATGTTTGTTTTTTTTCTTTAATTGATAACAATTACAGTGAGAACAATTTGCAAATAATGACTTGTGGATTTTTCCATTAATCTAAAATATTATCTAATATTTTGTCTTCATTTTAGATAATTAAGAAATATCAGAGAATCATTTACTCTGATACCCAAATTTCAAAAGGAAATGTGTGTTTTAGAGAAATTTGCATATTATTATAGAGAGGTATTTATGTTAGAGGCATTTGTGCTTGGATCTTCAAGTTGAGGTAGCAGCCACAATTTTTTAAAATCACTAGTGGTATTTGTGAAGAAGACAAGGAGTCAAAATGCTAGTCAGTGCTGATGGGGACTGTGCATGCTTTAAAAATACCTTATTAGGGCTGGGGTTGTGGCTCAGTGGTAGAGCACTTGCCTAGCATGGGCGAGGCCCTGGGTTTGATCCTCAGCACCACATAAAAATAAATAAATAAAATAAAGGTATTGTGTCCAGCTATAACTAAAAAAAATTTTTAAAACCCATCTTAATATTCTGCAATAAAGTATTTATAAAGCATCTACTGTGTATAAAGAAATAAACATATATACAGTAAAAATTAACTACATTTTGATAATTATGTTAACTGACCTCCACTGTACTAAATGCAAGTTATTAATTCCCCATATAACATTGTGAGGAATAATGCTTTTGGCAATGTAAGTTTCTACATAATTATTCCTTTAAGGCTTAAGTACCTGTGTTTAATAGAAATTTACCAAAAGATTGTACATGCTTTTGTTTTTAAACAGCATCAGTTCAGGGTCACATTTTCCTGATGACCTCATTCATCTTTATAAGCATGCATCAAATAGCTTCTTTTCCATAAAACTATATATATCTGGTGGCTCCTATATTCTTAAATGCTATTATACTTTCACATGTCAGATTATTTAGAAAACCCTGACTTCCCTGCTCCTTTTTTTAAAGATGGCTTCTGTATCTCTGTTTCTAGGCAATTGAGAAGATTACAAGTGAAATTTATAATGAAGCTTAGTTGATAAACATTCTTTTATAGAAGTAGTTGGGATGGTATGGGCAATTCCATGGGTTTTATAGCTACTACTTAAGATCAGTATTCAGGACCTTTTATTTTTTCTGCCTTTGCTCTCATTTTCTAAGTCGTCAGTTAAATCCTGCCTCCTGTCTTTCCTTCCCTTCCTCCCTCCCTTCTTCCTTTCTTCCTTCCTGACAAGGTCTTACTGTTAACCAGACTGAGCTTAAGTGATCCTCCTGCTTATATCATGAGTAGCTGGGACTACAGGCACACAGGTTTTCTCTCTTTTAGTTACACTAAAATTCCCATAGGAGAAACAAATTCCCAAATTGAAGTAGTAGTAAAATTTCTGGCAAGTTCAGGGATACAATGGTAGTACATTCCTAAGTGGCTTCATGCTCAGTGTCCTATTTCAACTCTTTGAAGTTCCAAAATCTCCAAAACTCTGAAAATGGAAAGTATTTTCTTGAATTAGGAAAACAAAAACCATTTACTCAGAGTGCATCTATCACAAAGTTAACAGTCTTCTTCCTTCTTAAAACTATATATCACTGTGAAAACTATGTATCACTGCAAATAATTATTAGTGCTTTTGACTTAACACCCCTATAGTGGGGTGGGGGTAGTTATTTATATACAAAATATGCACTATTTCTTTTGTAAAATTTTGAACTTGGAAATTTTGAATGTCTTTTCTAAAAATTTTGAATTCCAAAACATCTATCTGGCTGCAAGGGTTTCACATAAGGTATTATGAACCAATATCAAGAAGTTGTCTTGAAAAGTGCTTTTCTCAGGTCTCTTCTTGGCTATCCATAAGATATTCAAGAAAATGGGAAATTATGCTGAACTCATTGCTAAGAGAGATTCCCTATTTCTTCCATTTACTTCGTTTATATTTTTGAAGTATACTTTTAAACTTACAGGAACTCAAATTCTCACTGTCGGAAACTAGCAAAGCTAGAATGTGAAAACAGTTTTTTAATTTTTTTTTTCCAGTGCTTAAACTCAAATACTGCACCATACTGCGTTTGTGTGGAAACCACACTTGGAGACTTCTACTCCTCATCCCTCCATCTGATCCATATGGAACTTAAGTTGTTTTCTCCTATTGAAGATTTTGGAAGCTCACCTTGCCTTACTTTCTCAGTAGCTGTGAATACTCATTATTTCGTATGTTCCCCCCGAAGTTTGGGTGTGGAATATGACACTTGGTAGCTTCCCCATTACCTTTTCCCCAACTTCATTGCCATACTTTGATGACAGCTACTTTTCAGCTTCAAGGCTCTAGTAGCTAACCACTGTGAAAAGATAAATGAAAATAAAATAAAGGCAGAGCAAGATTATACAGGGAAGTGAGGCTGGAGTTGTGGCTCAGAGGTAGAGTGCTCGCCCAGCATGCGTGAGGCACTGGGTTCAATCCTTGGCACCACATAAAAATAAAATAAAAATATTAAAAGGAAACAGCCTTTTAAAAAATTACATAAGGGAGTTACAAAGGAGAATTTTTGCTGTTTTCCAGAGTTCCTCCATGGACTTGTTTTAATTTCTGCTCTTTAGTTTTGAGAATGGAGTTACCATCCACTCTCCCCTTCTTCTGGCTCTGCTTTCAGATGCATTTTGGGTCTGACCATAGCTGCAAGGTTAAAACTAACCTTTTGATTTCTGTAGACGATTTGAATTTGATTACTTCCAGGAAGCGTAATAACCTGGTATAACCCATCCTAAAAATGAACAACTCTAGTTGTCCCCAGCTAGATTAGCTTCCGCAGAGTACATGGCACACAAATAGACATCCTAAAATCAACATACGTGTTTTAACTGCCAGATGATGGAGTCAAAAGTTAATTATGCCATTGTCATGCTTAAAAGAAACCTACCTAGTCTTGCGGTTCCCTACACAGCACTGAGGGCATCCAATTCAGATGGAGAGGGGTATGGAATCTCAGGAAAGGCTTTCTGAGAATGGTGTCTGACTACCCATATTCTAATCCCAGTTCCATGTGCCCATTTCAGGACACGAAACAGTTTCTGGGTGCCTGCTTCCTCATTGGCAAATGGGGATAATAACAGGATCTAGCACTGGATCACTAGTTAACTCGAAAAGAGCTTAGACTTAACCAATGTGTTTCTATAATAACCCATGTATATATGCCTATAGGTATATATTGTATATAAGTATACAATAAACATTCAAGTTGTGGGGAAAAAAGAAAAGCGCTTATAAAAAACTGCCTAGTAAGGGCAATGCATTTCCTAAAAGCCTTTGCTGATGGGTCTTACAGGATAACAGAGGGTAAACATTTGACTTTACACCACAGATTTTTCTCCCCTAACGAGTTCAAAATTTCAAGTCTAATTTTGTCCTGACGCTTCGGTTTATTCCCAGAAGCCACTCGGAGAAGCACGTGAATTCTCCAACTACAGGCCCGCTCTTAGCCCTCCTTGGCCCGATGTCCCCGGACCCCTTCTCCCCTCCCCCCAGGTTTTGGAATCGCTCCCGCACGACGCCGCACACGCGGCACCGCGTGACCCGTCGTGACGTACGCAGTGGACCGCACCGGAGGTGGGAGAGGGCCGAGGGGACGGTAGAGGGCTTGGGGGCGGAGCCACCCTACTGGCCCGCCCCCGTCGGCAGCTGCCTCTGCGCGCGAAAGTCAAACTTAGGGACCCGCCGGCGGGGGAAACCTAACTGGGTCAGGTCTGGGCGAGTTCCGGTTCGTGCGCGCATCTGTGCTCTCCTCCTTGCCCGAAGCATTTGGGGCAGCCAAAGACCAAGAATGGCCACCCCGCCCAAGAGAAACTGCCCATCTCCCTCCACTAGCTCCGAGGGTACCCCCATCAAGAAAATCTCCATCGAAGGGAACATCGGTAAGAACCCCTGGTGAATGTTGGGCTCAAAGCAGGGGGAATCACGGTGGCGTCTGAAGGTCCCCTTCGCTGCCTTTAGCTGCTATTAGGTGAGGGCTTTGCCTCCATCTAGTCTGGAGGTGAGGACGCGGCCCCGGCTTCCTTTCCCGCCCAAAGCATCTTTCCCAGCCCTCCCCCGCTACCCTCCTGCTCCCGAGGCTGGCGGACGCTGGTCCGGCTGAGCGCCGGGCGGGCGGGCTTTGTGGGGCGCGCTTTGGACCGCTGCACGGGTCTTTTTTGGGCACTCGAAGAGGGAAGGGTTTCTTTTGGTGGTGGGTCGGATACAGCGGATTTCTTGAGGTGTGATTTAGGTTAAGTTACATTCACCCTTTTAAGGTGTACTGTTCTATGAGGTCTCAAACATAATGCCTTTTCACATCAATATAAAAAACATTTCCATTGCCCCCCACAGTTCCTTTGTGCTCCTTTGTAGCCAACATCCTCTCCCTTCCTCTCTTTCTGGCAATTGCTGACCTGATTTTTTTTTTTTTAATTCCTGCGAGTTATGCCATTTCCAGAATGTCATATAAATAGAATCAGAGTGTCTAGCCTTTCGTGTCTTGTTTCTTTTAGCATAACGCTTTTGAGATTCATTCATGTTTTTTCTGTAGTTCCTTTTTATTGCCGAATATTGTATTATTGCAAGGATATACCATGATTTATGTATTCCCCACTTGTGGATGTTTGGTTTGTTTCTGGGTTTTAGCAATTATTGATGAAACTGCTATACACCTTCAAGTTCAAGGAAAGAGGCTTTTAATGTTCTAAATAGCATGGAGTCCCTCAATTCTACCTAACATCCAAATAGTAACTGGAGTTACAATTCAAAGACCACTAACGAGATTCAAAGACCACTAATGTTTCAGTTTCTGGTTTTTGGTGGTTGTGTCTGTGTGTGTGTGTGTGTATTTGCCATACCAGGAATTGAACCCAGAAGCCCTCTACAGACTCTTCCTAGGTTGCACTGGGTGTGGGTGGCTGGCTCTAAGTTGTGATCCTCTTGCCTCAGCTTCCCAAGTTGCTGAGATTATAGGTATCTGCCATTGCCCTGGACAGGTTTTTGTTCTTAACTCTGTTGGGGGCAAACCACATCATGCATATCATTGTGCAAGGTGAACATGAATTTCCTACTACAGGAAACCTACTCCTGACACTTCCTGTTTTGATAGAATTTTTTTGGTTGTAGGTTGGGTACTGGTCATCCATGCATACAGTATAGTTTTTCTTAACACATTCAAAGCACTGTTCCTATAAAAAAGCAAGGCTAGTAGATGCTTCACCCATTCAGAAGAAAACTGAATACACCCTCAAGAAGATCTTATTTTATTGCTGCAGGTTTAGGGCACCAGTGGGAGAGACTCTTATTTCATCTAAGCAGTGTAAGTTCTATGATGATGCATGTTTGCTGGTATGATGCATGTTTACTGGTATGAGTCCTCTTTGTGAAGAAAGATCATCTGCAAAGACAGGAAAAAGTAGTTAACAATGCCATCATAAAAATGTATTTGAACAGACAACACCTCAGATCAATATCACAATGTATTAATCTTCTTTTCTCTTCTTAAATCCAGTTAGGTAACATATCATATCTAGAAATCTACTTTCCCTGCAAGCATCTGTAATCTTCTCAGCACCTGAAATAATTTCCTAGCGTGTTACTCCATCTCCAATTTCTCTTTAATTACTTACAGAGCATTCATTCTATATACAGATGGAATCATGTTATAACCTGCTTAAAATTCCTGACTTCTCTATACTGAAAGGATCTGCAAACTGATGGCCTGCATTTGTACCATATTTTCCTGCTGTGATTTGGGTGGAGGTGGGGTGTTAGTTACTAGAATTTTAAAAATTTGAGATTCCCCATAAACATCTAGGTTCTTGGCTTATGAAAAATCTAAAGATCTCCTAACACTGGGCTTATGTTTCTATGTAACAACAATTTGTGTTTAGATGGAGTGTGTTCCTCACCATTTACTGTCTCCTTTACACTAGGCTTTGTCAGTTGATGTTTATTACTGCTTTTGCACTGTTGTTCATGTTCCCATCCACCTTATTTGACAGATTCAAACAAGCTATCACTGTATAAATTTGTGGCTGGATGCTATGGCACATTCTTGTAATCCTAATGACCTGGGAGGTTGAGGCAGGAGAATCTCAAGTTTGAGGCCAGCCAGCCACAGCAACTTAGCAAAACTGTGCCTCCAAAAACAAACAAACAAACAAACAAATAAATAAAAATAAAGGACCAGGTTTGATCCTCAGTACTGAAAAAAAATACTATTTTTCTTTATGATTCTGTTTCTAGAATTTGAACTTTTTATTTTTATTTTTCAGTGCTGAGAATCAGATTCAAGGTTTGCATACTATGCAAATGCTTTACTAACAGAGAACTATACCCCAGCCCTACAATGTAAATTTTACCTGGTTATTTTAGTTTTGTATTAAAGTAGCTCATTATCTCATGTTCTATGTTACTAAAATACTCCCTAATGTTAGATTTATGGAGCCCTTGGCCAGACATGGTGGTACACACTTATGACCAGCAGTTCAGGAGGCTGAGGCAGGAGGATTGTGAGTTCAAAGCCAGCCTTGGTAATTTAGCAAGGCCTTAAGCAATTTAGTGAGACCCTGTCTCAAAAGTAAAAAGGGTTGATGATGTGGCTCACTAGTTAAAGCCCTCTGGGTTCAATCTGTGGTACCAAAAAAAAAAAAAAAAAAAAAGATTTATGGAAGGCTTATCTGCTTCTTAATACTTTGTTCAGAATGACTTTTATCATCTTAATGCTTGTTTGACATTAAGAATTCAGTTAGTTCCTGGGATTTTTATAGAAGTATTAATGTGAATATCTATGGTTCTTGTTCTCTTTTGCCTTTGTCCTTGGTAGAATACTTACTTATTGATTAACTTATTTTCCAGTTCCCACTTCCCCCTCAAAATTTAAGGAACTAAACTAGGACTAAGTATTGTTACTCTGTGTGAACTAAATGTAGCTATTATTACATTTAAATTTAAAAAATAGACTGCATGATTCTGCTTGTAGGCAGTATCAGAGGGAAGCTGAGGGCTGGTGTTGTGGCTCAATGGTAGAATGCTCGCCTAGCACATATGAGGCACTGGGTTCAATCCTCAGCACCACATAAAAATAAAAATGTTGTGTCCACCTACAACTAAAAAAAATTATATAAAGGAAGTAGAAAGTGCTAGCCTTCAGTGCATTTAGACTCTGAGCTGATGCCTTGGTGCTCTTTTCCTTTGTTCAGTGAATGTTCAGTGATCATTTAAAACCATTCTTCTAGATGCCTTACAGTCCCTAACTTGATCACCGTGCTTTTCTCATGACTAGAGGTAATAGTCACTCTGTTTATCCTTAGAAAGTTTTTCTTCTCTTCTGGAGATAACATGACTTTTGTATTTTATTTGTCTCACTGTTCTCTCTGTGTCAATTTTTTATTTAACTCCCTCCCTTTGCTTTGTGTGATCCTTTAAAGTTTATATATATATATATATAAATAAATGGGAATATATATATATATATATATATATATATATATATATATTCCCATTTATTTATTTATTTATTTATGGTGATACTGGGAATTCAACCTAGGGCCTTGTGCATGCCACGCAAGTGCTCTGCCACTGAGCTACATCCTCATTCCTTTCGTTCTTTTCTGTTGCCCTGCATAATGTCAGAGGTTGTGAATATAGTTCTGCAAGTCAAAGGTAAGTTCATCCTTGCCTGCCTTAGAACCTGTTTATGAGGAAGAAGAAGCTTTGCTTGCAAAGATGTTAAAGTTATATATGGGTTTGTATGTGTAGAGAGAGAGAGAGAGAACATTATGCCGATCAGCAATGTCTAATATAACCACATAGAAAGGGTGTGGTGGAGCTGGGCATGGTGGCGCATGCCTATGATCCCAGCAGTCCTGGAGGCTGAAACAGCAGGATCTAGAGTTCAAAGCCAGCCTCAGCAAAAAGCAAGGCACTAAGCAATTTAGTGAGACCCTGTCTCTAAATAAAATACAAAATAGGGCTGGGGATGTAGTTCAGTGGTCAAATACCCACTGAGTTCAATCCCCAGTACCCCACCCCCCCAAAAAAAAAAAAAAAAAGAAAGGGTATAGTGGTCATTAGGTATGTAGCTCTACACTGTACCCTGTGAGGTTCTACATCAAGACTGTCCCTACTATTAAATATAATATATTCCTAGGTAACTTTAACATAGTAAACATTGTATACCCTGATTATACATGAGCTGTCCCTATGTCCCCTGCCAACCCCATATCTCAGAAACTAATGAGTGGTCAGAGAAAACTAAAGTACATATTTTTTATTTATTTTTTTAAGGTTTGGTAGAAAACACAGAACCATGACAATTACTTCTTTTAGGAAGTATTTTGCAGAAAGGTTTTATAATATTTACTAGTCATTGTGCTTATTAGTGTTAGTAATAATCATATTATTCTTTATTCTAAAACCCTAGTCATTGGATGTATCTTCATATTGATATTATGGTTACTTGTGTGTTCCTTAATTAGTTTTAGATAGGAAAAAACTGAGCTTCTTTGTAGACTTGAGAGAGTGGAGCTGGTAGACAGGAAGGTTCTAAAAATCTGAGCCTGGAATGAATATTAATATAGTGAGAGTTTATTTGTTATTACAACAGTTTCCATGAAGAAAGTACTATTATCTTTCTTGAGGAAACAGGCTCAGAGAGGTTCAGGGACTTACCCAAATTCACACAACTAGTTTTAAGTGGGAGACTAGCCTTACTGTTTCCCAGAATTGCTTGGCTAAGGAAAATATGTCTTGGAGTTGGACTTTTTTTCTCCCAGATATAACATCTTGCCTAAAACTTCACTAGATTCTTATTTCCTCTGTTCTCTGGCTTTGCTAAGCTAAAAACAGTAACAAGTGTGCTCCGCACAATTGGATAGGGGACCTTTCAATTTCTGTTTTTTAAAAAAAGAAAGTTTAAGAAATTGCATTTGTTGCCTGTTATAAATCCTATAAAAGCTGATGATTATTTATCTTTATTTTTTTTTTCTGACAAGTTTTCTTACTTAATTTTACCTTTCCTTTCATAACAGCTGCAGGGAAGTCAACATTTGTGAATATCCTTAAACAAGTCTGTGAGGATTGGGAAGTGGTTCCTGAACCTGTTGCCAGATGGTGCAATGTTCATAGTACTCAAGATGAATTTGAGGTATGAAAATAGAATTTTAAGTGAATAAAATAAAAATCTTTTGGATTAAAGGACCAACATCTTTTTCTTTTCCAATAAAAATTTCAAGTCTATATCTTCATTGTGGTGGTGCTACATGAATATTTATATAAATATATACATAAAGATTTGTTGACCTATGCTTTTAAGATTTACTATTGCATCTAAATAAAGTTAAGTGTTTTAAGAGTTTAAAAATTAATGAAGCCTTAAAAAATTGAATTTCAATTTAAATTTCTCCAACGGCTTTGTTTTTGGAGCGAGGGAGTACTGAACTCAGGGGCACTTGACCACAGAGCTACATCCCCATCCCTATTTTTGTATTTTATTTAGAGACAGGATTTTACTGAGTTGCTTAATGCTTCTAGTTGCTGAGGTTGGTTTTGAACTTGCTATTCTCCTATTTCAGTCTCTGGGATTATGGGCGAGCTGCTGGGATTATAGGCATGTACCTTCACTCCCTGTTCAAGGGGTTTTATATTTTGATTAAAAACAAGCAAACAAAAAAAATTTTTAAATTTTAGTTTACCTTTCAAGACCTTTGTTATAGAGAAAATAGTTTATTTCAGATTTCTTTTTATCATTACTATCATTCTTAAGACTTCTATTATAGGGCACAAGTATCATTTTCATTGCCTTGCAAATGAGAAAGGAAGCAAATAACAGTTACATTTCCTTTTTTTAGTAGAAGAATTTTTGGTTGTGTGTATAGGAGCGAGTGATTGCTAATATTTTTACTTTTGGAGAATTGGGAATTGAAATTGAAAGAAGAAATCTTCAAAAATGGAAATGTATGCTAGAAACTTACTTTAAAAAGGGCAGGACAGAAGAGTGAAAAAAATATTTTAAAAAGTTTAACTGTTGGTAGGATTTCTGTGAATAATTGAATATTTAAAATATAAATCACATACACAAATAGGAATTACTAGCAGGATACTCTGTAGACTTTGAATATATATGATTTTAAATTAGTAAAAAATATTTTACTAACATTACCTTCTATTTGCTAAGCATAGTTACTTTAGGTCTGGGGCCAATTAGGTATACCCATCTTTATAATGTCTAGGACTAAATTTAAAGGGACTTCCTCCCCAGATGGACCCTATTTTCTAAAGAAATTGGTGTCTCCTGTCTTTGAGGAAAGGTAGGGTTAGTCTTAAAAAGAACTTTAAAGTGGGTGAATATATTTGTTTCTTTAACCATTTTTAATTGACATGTAACAATAAAAGTATATGAAGCCTATGTATAGTCTAAAGAACACTTCAAAAAGCTAACATCTTTGTAATCATCATCCAGGTCAAAAAAAATAGAACATTAATTACTATTTTAGAAATCCTGTTTGTCCAATCATATCTGTAAACAAGGGTACAAATATGTGAGGTGCTTCTAGTTGAAAGTTATTGCCCTGTTAATATTGAGAGTATATCGCACCCTTTAGTAATGTTGCAGAGAAGAGGTTGAAAATTGTATTAATATACTTGGGAAGATAATTTATAATAAGAAGATTGTCTCTTGAACTTGGAATCAGTTCAGAGAGATTGGTTAGATTTAGTGACTGACATCATTAGACTATGACACATTGATGTATCTGTCATCATTTTAAAACTATGTGTCTTCATGAATCTGGCACTTATGTTTATGGGCTAGGACATTTTCTTTCCATGTACTGGAGTCAGAATGCCAAGCTGGCATTTTTAAAGTAACTAGTATACATATGATCCTGTTATCATGGGGCTGGGGGGAGTACTAGAGATGGAGTCCAGGGGCTCTCTATCCCTCTGCATCCCCAGCCCTTTTTATTTTTTTATTTGAGGGTTTTGCTGAGTTTCTGAAGCTGACTTTGAATTTATAATCCTGCCTCATTCTCCTGAGTTGCTGGGATTATAGGCATGTGCCACTGCATCGAGTTTGATTATCTTTGTTGAAATTTGATGCATATTCTTGGACGGTAGCTTTAATTTTGTGTGTGTCTATTGAAGGCTGTTATATTATTAGTCTTCTGTACTTCCAGGCAGAGATTCAAACAATGTGGGAATAGTATTTTGGGGTAGATTGTAGAATGTCAGGGAATGGGTAGCAGAGTGGCATCCTTCTTTTTTTTTTTTTTCCCTGGCCCTCCACTATACTCAAGAAGTGGGGTTTTCTTCATCTTAGATCAGTACTTCCCCAAACCCATCCCTGATCTATTCCTTGGAGTTATGTGACTCACCAACTGTATAAATCTTAGCTTTCTTAGAGTATTGTCAACAATGGGAAATGGACTGTTTTCATTCCAGTCCTGGCCAGCCCAGCCCTACTTTGGATGTTATCCATTTGATTATACTGCTTGGAAGTTGTAGAACTGGAAGAGTGGCTATTAGTAAATGTTGTCTTTCCCTGATATTTAAATATGCACATGCTTATTTAGCTTGTTTGGGGTTTTTTTTAAAGCTGTTTTTTTTTTAAACCTGCCACCTAGTGGCTGAAATGTTGCTGTACTGTTAATAGGCTACCACTAATTTTTTTAAAAATTTATTTTTTATTTATATATGACAGCAGAATGCATTATAATTCTTATTACACATATAGAGCACAATTTTTCATATCTCTGGTTGTATACACAGTGTATTCATACCAATTTGTGTCTTCATACCTGTACTTTGAATAATAATGATTATCACATTCCACCATCACTAATTTTGATACAATGAAAGGGTGAAATAGTTTAAATGATTACATAGTCTCCTTCTCTCATGTGATAAAAATGATCTTTAAAACTTATCACCTAGATGATTTATCAAATTTTGTATTAAAGGCTTATTTCCAAATAATAATATATTTGCTGATTTGATTTAATTGCCTCCTATTAGATTTTTTTTTTTTTTTGTAGATAGACTTAAGGAGATCTCTCCTTTCTGTTCTTTTTCACTGAGCTGAATTTTTTACATTTATAAATCATTTAATATACAAAGTTAAAAACTATTTAGAAGCTCAGTGTAGTGGTGCACACCTGTCATCCCAGTAATTTAAGAGACTGATGAGGAGGATTGGAAGTTCAAAGCCCACCTCAGCAAGGCCCCAAGCAACTTAGTGAGACCCTATCTCAAAATAAAAAAAAAAAAGAACTGAGGATATGACTCAGTGTTAAAACACCTGGGTTCAATCTTCAGTACCAAAACAAACAAACAAAACCAAAAAACAAAACAAACAAACAAAAACACTATCTAGAATTTTACATTTTTAAAAGAATATCTTCTAAATTATTCAACAGAAGATAGAGATCATATTCCTTTGTCTGAAATCCTGGGGCCAGATGTTTCAGAATAAGAAATTTACAAGGGCTGGGATTGTGGCTCAGTGGTAGAGCGCAAGACTTTCGCGTGTGAGGCACTGGGTTCCATCCTCAGTACCACATAAAAATAAAGGTATTGTGTTCATCTACAACTAAAAAAAAGAAATTTTTAGAATTCAGAATGGTAAATCAGTGTACATACCATACTACAATAATCCCCGCGCACGCGCGCGCACGTGTGTGTGTGTGTGTGTGTGTGTGTGTGTGTATTTTTTGCCATTGGGGATTGAACCAGGGATGCTTAACCACTGAGCCACATCCCCAGCCCTGTTTTTTATATTTCATTTACAGACAGGGTCACACTGAGTTGCTTGGGATCTTGATAAGTTGCTGAGGCTGGCTTGAACTTACAATCAATCCTCCTGCCTCAGCTTCCAGAGCTGCTGGGATTACAGGCATATTCCACCGTGCGCCACTGAAACCCTCAAATTTTTAACTCTCAATGTATATACCATTCTACATTAACCTTCAATCAATCATGTATGATTATGGGGCGGGACAGCAGCCCTCCTTGCATAATCAAACATGTTAGTACTTTTGTAGTAATATAAATGCCTATTCACACCAAATGGGTTAAATAGATGTCACTGTCAGTTCATATTAGATTTATAAGCAAATGAATTTTGTCATCAAGCTTATGAAAATTTTGTTTTCAGAACTTCTTCAATTTTGAAATTACAAATTCAGATGAGGGAATGCAGACCTTTATAAACTTGTGTGACAAGACATGAAAGATTTTTAAAAAGCATAAGCTTTCAAATACATTATAAATTAACAGGCATCTTCTCTTTGATTTTATTAAATGTACATCTTAAATATAGGTACACATAGCATACAATATGATTTATGACAGTTGGTATTCAAAGGTACAGGTTCACTATTCTGTAAGAAGGGGATATTGTTGAATGAGCAGTAAAATTAAAAATGAGATTAGACCTATCATCTATAGCATCACATATACACTTTGGATCCCTAACCTTCTTATGGCAGATAAATGGCTGCAGATGATGCAAAAAAGGCTTATGTCTGGTAATACATTCAAATACCAAGGTCCTAAAGCTCCAGTAATTAACAATGGCTGTATAAGGCTTATTCTCAAAGATCTCTAGTATTCCCACAAAAGTTGTAGCAAGACTTCTTTTATCAGTGCCTTTGGCATATCCCAGATTAATTATTTTATTCATTATCTTTCCATCAACATACAGAAGAACTACATATTTAGGTTTTAAAACTGAGGTATAATTTTAGTTTTTGTGCAAATATCAAATCCCAGACCTTCTATCACTCAGTAAAGAAATCATCTGGCTTTCTTTAAGTCTACTTCAGTTTTCTGGTTTGTTGAGTAGCTTCTGAAGACCTCCAAAACAGTATTCCATTGCTAGAAAAGGCATATCATTAATCAGAAAATTCAATTCCTCAGGAACGTCATAGGCCTTTACAACATTGGCATGATTCAGCTTCATGCTGATTTCATGTCACCACTATTATGTTTTTGGTACTTAGCTCTAGGTGATGAGATTTATTTGCTGTTTTGGGGTCAAGTTCCCAGTGCTGGTACAGATAGACATTCCCAGAGCTGTCAGTGTCAAGCTGCTCCCAGATCTCTCAGGGCCCACCTATACCTGGCCACATTTTAGGAGTCAATCTTATTGGGTGGAAGGGCAAGCAGTGTTAGGCTCTGGCAGTATTCCTGAACTGAATTGTTTTTTTGGCGAGGGTGGGGTGGGGGATTATTGCTATTAATTGTGAAGCATTATGTTACTTAAATTTATTTTTTTAAATTTAAGTTGACCAATGAAACATTTATAGTGTACAACATGATGTTTTGAAATGTATATATGTTATAGAATGGCTGTCAAGATAATTAGCATATGTATTACCAGTGCTATTTTACTTTTATCTAAAAGTTATTAATACTAAGAAACCAGTGAGAAATTAGTAACTGTGAGAAAGGAGGTATATATTTGTCTTTGAAACAACTTATCTTTTTCTTTTTTCAAACCCTTGATATTTTTTTCTCACTTACCAATAATCTATATTTCCTATAAAATAGTGAAATATTCTCTCATGAAGTAATAGTGGATATGAATCAGAGAGAACAGAATAAAAACCACTATAATCCCATCATTCTGTATGTTTCATTTATATAGTTGTGATAATAAATTACTAAATCCAGTTTGGGTAACGGTAAATACAGTTTTTTATTTTATAAAATAATACCACTTCACAGTTAAGAAAATGTCAGATTATCCAAAGAGGGAAATGAAGCTGGGAGCGGTAGTCCTCACCTGTAATCTCATGGGCTTGGGGATTACAGGCTTACACAGGAGGATCGCGAGTTCAAAGCGAGCCTCAGCAATGGCGAGGCACTAAACAACTCAGTGAGACCCTGTATCTAAATGAAAAAATACAAAATAGAGCTAGGGATGTGGCTCAGTGGTCAAGAGCCCATGAGTTCAATCCCAAGCACCCCCCCCCCCCCAAAAAAAAGAAGAAGGAAATGAAACTTACCTATAACCTTATTACCCAGAGATAAGTGCAGACCCTATTTGATACAACAGTATACAATTTTGTACTGTTTTTCTCAGCTATAATAATCATTATGACTTAACAATTTAAAATGTCATTAAAATTTTTCTGTAAATGAAAGGCAGCTTAATTTATTGTATGTATATACCATTATATACTTAATATAATATAAATACCTAATAATAATGCAGTGATAGCCTCCTATTTACCTAGCACTGTGATAGACAACTTTTCAGTTAAATCTATATTCTAGATTATTTCTTTAAAATAAAATTCTAAAAGTGGACTTCATGGGGCCAAAAATTACAGATTTTTTTAAAGTAGCTAAATTGCTATGTAAGTGTTATACCTATAAAATTCTATTACAAAGTTTTGCTTCAGTTTTAATTTATGCATTTGTATTTTTAGAACTAGCTGATTATAATTTTTATAACTAATGAGTCAGGATTGATCCTCTAAGTTCTTTTAATATAGTAGACTTTGAATTACTTTGGGCAAGAGAGATTATATTTATTGGGAAATTCAAATAAAAGGTATATGATTTTGTTATTAATTTTTATTTTTATTAAAACATAAAGTTTTACCATCTTAAATGCCTTTTTAGGTGTACTGCTTTGATAATAAGTACATTTACAGTGCTATAAAACAAATCTTTTGCATCTTTCACAACTAAAACTATGTCTAGTAACCACTCCCTTTGCCTGCTCTTCCCAGCCCCTGGTAAATGGCATTCTACTGGGTATAACTTAAGAATATGACAGCTTTTTCATTTAGCATAATGTCTTATATTGTGGTCTTTTAAAAAAATCTTTAATATTATTATTGTTTATTTTTATGTGGTGCTGAGGATTGAACCCAGAGCCTCAAGTGTGCGAGGCAAGCGCTGTAGCTACCACTGAGCTATCACCTTGGCCCCTTATGCTGTGGTCTTTTAAAAAATATAAACACTTATTTAGAAATGAAAAAAAGTACCTATTTTAATGGATATAAAGAGATGGGGAACTCAGATTTTTAAAACAAAAATAACATTGTAAAAGAAAATATACATGCATAGTTACAATAAAAGAACTAATAAACGATACATTTTAAAAATAGAGCTAATGTGATGCTGGATGCAGTATACTTGTAATCCTTGGTGAGCCAAGAGGATGAAAAGTTTGAAACTATCCTTGGCAGTTTAGCAAGACCCTGTCTCAAAATAAAATTTCAAGAAAGAGGTTGGAGGTGTAGCTCAGTGGTAGAGCACCCCCCATGTGTTCAGTTTCCAGAACCAAAAAAAGCCCTGAGCAAACAAACCAGCTAATATAAGATGTGTAGTGTTCTTTATCATCAGATGAATTGTTTTCATCTTCCTGTTCATTGTTGACTTACTCTAGCTCAAAAAGTTTCAAATTTCTGCTCATCATCTATTTATATGGTCATATTTATCTCTTTGGAGTTCTAAATGTCACCAGTACCTGTATGTCCATTTTTATTCAGAAGATTTGGGAAATTTTCTTCTCTTATTGCATTGAATGTTTTTTTTTTCTTTTAAAGAATTTTACCTTTGTTTTATTTGTTTTTATGTGGTGCTAAGGATCGAACCCAGTGCCTCACATGTGCTAGGCAAGTGCTGTACCACTGAGCTGTGTGGGTTTTCTGTGCCACGGGCTTGTATCGCTACTTTTTCCTCAAGACCTGTGGGTCTTAAATTTGATTTTCTATTGTCCCAGAGACTGTATATTTTGTTCAACAAAGCCCTGGTGGGGAGAAGTTGGGAAATCTTTTCTGTAGATTTCAGATTTTTAGCATTCTGGTTTTAGGTTTGGTGGATGCTTAGAAGTATACTAAGCTTATGGTTATATTCTGATAGTTTTTTTTCTTTTTCTTTTGAAGTTTTTGGGAATCAAACCCAGGGCCTTGTGCATGCTACGTGAGCATTCTCCCACTGAGTTATACCGCTAGTTAAATTGTGAGAGTTTTACTTAATAGTCATGAGGATGTTAGGTTGGATACAAAGGTTGAAAGTGAATGGCTATTAAAGGGACTAAGATAATTTTGACTCTTGACCCCCAACAGTCCATCTCTTCACAATCATGATATCCTCAGCCAAGGTCAAGCAGTCTGCAGAATTTTTAATCTAGGTGCTACTCTTCAGAGAACTTCAGTTCCACATCATCATAAACAATCTGTGTTGGGGGTGTTGCCCCATTGTCTCATAATTTTTTTTTTATAATTTTGAAATCAGAAGCCAAACAAGCTTCACATTGCATTTGGTTGATATGTCTTTTCAATTTTAATATCTTAGTTGCCTCTTTTTATTTTTTCCTTTGCAATTTATTTGTTGTAAGAAATTGAGTCATTTGTTCTATGCAGTTTGCCTCCTTCTGGTTTTGGCTGAATATATCACTGTGATAAAATTTACCATGTTTCTTAGTTCTCTGTATTTTCTATAAATCTGTAGGTAGACCTCCATAGACTTGATTGGATTTAGTTCTAATTTTTTTTGGGGGGGGGCATGATTCCTAAGTGATGATGTGTATTTCTGTTTACCATTACATTAGGAGGATGTCAGTTGTTAAAATTGGTCAGTCACTTTAGGTGGTGTCAGTCTAATTTGTCATGGGACACTTGAGAGAGAAGTTTCATTGAGTCCTAGAGTTTGAGGTCAGCCTGGGCAATATGGCAAAACCACATTTCAAAACAACAACAAAAATAAGTAAATTTTTTAAAAAAGAAAAAAATCCCTGTTTGTCCAATCATATCTCTGAACAAGGGTACAAATATGTGAGGTGCTTCTAGTTGAAAGTTATTGCCCTGTTAATATTGAAAGTATATTGAATTCTTTAGTAATGTTGCAGAGGAGAGGTTGAAAATTGTATTAATATACTTGGGAAGATAATTTATAATAAGAAGATTGTCTCTTGAACTTGGAATCAATCTTATGTTTGGTATGTTAGGTTTATTCAATACATTTTCAGTTTACAATATTTTGAACTTATAATTGGTTTATCAGAATGTAATCCTATCTGAATTGAGGGGCATCTATGAATTAGGTCTGTTTGAAAATCATCTGGGAATAGTGGGGACTGATAAACTGGCGAGTATGTGTCCCAGTTTATTTTTCCAAGAGGAAATAAAAAGATAATATTTCTTGGCTTTCCATTTTAAAAAGAAAATATAAATCCAGATAATTTCATTTAGCTTTTAAATATTGACAATTAATTCAAAATTTTTTAAAGTCCTACTTTAGCCAAATAATTTCTTTCATAGCTTGTAAGTTTATGACCTCTTGTGAAGAAGATTTGAAGATCTTTTAGGCTTCAGATAACTTAAAATACTGGGGAAAAAGTATAAGGAAGGGGACTTAACTTGGTTTTATTAATCATCATGCATTTATTTGTATAGCTTTTTTTGGAGCCTTAAAAAGTTCAGATAGCTCATAACATTGCTTTTTTTTTTTTCTTTTGCAAATTCAAAATAGGAACTGACAACGTCTCAGAAAAGTGGTGGGAATGTTCTTCAGATGATGTATGAGAAGCCTGAACGATGGTCTTTTACCTTTCAATCATATGCCTGTCTCAGTCGGATACGAGCTCAGCTTGCCTTTCTCAATGGCAAGCTCAAAGATGCAGAGAAACCTGTATTGTTTTTTGAACGATCTGTGTACAGTGACAGGTATATATAAATGGTTTATACTTGGTTATACTTGGTTATCTGGAAACTTGGCTTAGAGTTGGACATTTTTTTTTCCCTCCTGTTTCCTGTGAATTAAAGTAATAATAGAGGCTGAGTTGAGGAATTGAGATACATAATGACATTTAATCTCCTCAGCATTCTGGTATTAATATCGCTGAGAAGTTTTAGCATTTATAATTTCTGGCTTCTGTGGAAATGATAGGGAATAGTAGCTATTTAATCCAGATTTGTAGAGAAGTTTTAAAATTCTCATCTGTTCTGGTTAAATCTGGTTCTATATCCTTGTGTCTCACCTGAACCAGTGAGATAAAAATTTCCAAGGGAGCTTTAGAATTTTCCTGCTTATGTCAGATTCTTTGAATCTCCAAATTAATTCAGAATAGTTTCCAAAACTTTTTGGTTTCAGGACCCCTTTCTATCCTTAATGATTATCCTGTATCCAAAGTGCTTTGTATCTTACTGATGTGTATATCTTGTTATAAATTTAGATTGAGAAATATTTTAAAATTATTTACTCATTTAAAATTAGCAATAAACCAATTTCATATTAACATAGGTAACATTTTTAATTTAACATATTTTTCTAAACAAAAAGTAGTGAAAAAAATAGCAGTGCTTTACACTTTTGCATGTTTTTGTCTAACTTAATAGAAAAATTTGGATCTTCATTTGTGCTTCTGTATTCAGTATGTTATATCTTCTTTTGGTTGAGATGTAGTAGTATGTGAAGTAACCTGGCCTCTCATAGAACTTCTTGAAGAATCTTTGAGACTTCCAGTGGTCCTCACATGACATTGGGAGAACTGCTGACCAAGAACATGTAGCCCATAGTTGAAGAAACTCATGGTTTTTTGTTTGTTTGTTTTCTGTTATCTGAGGCACTATCTGCCACAGGATTTAGGAGAATATTTCATATTCATTTAATAGATTTATTTTCTATTTCTTTGTGAGTTTTTAAAAAAATGATGAATCCTCTCTTTCAGGTATATTTTTGCATCTAATTTGTATGAATCTGACTGCATGAATGAAACAGAGTGGGCAATATATCAAGACTGGCATGACTGGATGAATAACCAGTTTGGCCAAAGCCTTGAATTGGATGGAATCATTTATCTTCGAGCTACTCCAGAGGTGAGAACCAATAAAAATTCACTTGCTCCATTGAAAATTTAAAGTAGTATTTAGAAATCTTTTCAGTGGTGTGTGTTGAAGGCAATTTAATTCAACTCCAGCCCTCCATGTCTTCATCTCCAAACTCACAACTTTATTGATAGAATTGTTCTGTTTTCTTGGCAGAGTAGAAGCAAGACTTGTCAAGTAGCACTTTTAGAACCCGCTCAGTTCTCTTTTATTTTTCATCTTTATTTCTTCCTAACTTGCAGACTTTCTCATCCCATTTTACTCAAGCAACTTCTTCAATATAGGCTGCATATGAGGTAGGACTTAGGATATTTTAATTACCGTACAATTTCCAATGCCTAGGATAGGGTCTGGGTATGCAGTAGGAGATAAGTAAATATTTGCTGAATGGATGGCAAAGTTGGAGGTTCATTTCAAGGAAAATCTTTTATAATTGTAACTTGAATGAGTAGATAGTGACCATTAAGTTGAGAAGAGACTTAGTTAAGGGAGCTCCCTTGAAAATATGCCTTTTATGATAAATTATAACTGCAATAGCTGTTCTGTTTACATCATAATATATAATAAATCCAGGAAGATCAAGTAGATGCTTTTCATGAAATCAACCTAAATAATAGGATCTTACATTTAACTGGAAGCTTTCTGGGTTTGACACTTGCATTCTCATTGTTTCTCTGTTTTTTAAATTTCTACTTCTTGGGTAAGTCAAAAGATCTAGGTTTCTGATTACAGTAGATTATTTTGTTCCTTTTTTTTTAAATGTCAAATAAGCCAGGATTCAGCAGTTATAATAATATTGAAATTCACTTTTATTTTTGAGAAGAATCTTTTTGAATACGAATGTTAAAAAAGAGCATAAAGAATACTAATGATTTTATTCTGCTGGAAACAGTTTCTTAAAGACTAACACAAAACTACTGTTTTATCTCATCAGTATTTTTTAAAAATATTTTTTAGTTGTAGATGGACACAATACCTTTATTTATTTTTATGTGGTGCTGAGGATCAAACCCAGTGCCTCATACATGCAAGGCGCACACTCTACCACAGAGCCACAACTCCAGCCTCTCATCAGTATTGTTTATGATATAGTTTGACTAAATGTTTAATTATTGAAAAAGAGAATTTATAATAGACTTTGAAAGACAGTTTATATGCTGCTCTAGGCTTATGCATGTTATTTAGGTTGAAGGTTTCCCCTCCCCCCTCTGTCTGTCCATCCATCTGTTCCTTCTTTCATTTCTTCCGTCCTTCCTTTTTATGGTGCTAGGGATCAAACCCAGAACCTTCTGCATGCTGCACAGATGATTTACCACTGGGCTAGGGAGTTTGGGGGTTCTTATGTCTTTGGATACATGATAAATTTCTGAGGATTTATGAATCCCCACAAATTATGTGAATTTTTGTATGTATGTATGTTTTCAGGGGAAAATGATCTAGAGCCATACTTATAATGTGACTATTTAAATTATGGCTATTAAAATTAAATAAAATTTTAAAATTCAGTTTTTTTATCACTACACTAGCCATGTTTCAAGTGCTTAAAAGCCATAAGTGGCTAGTAGCTACTTTATTCAATAATGCAGATATAGAACAGGCACAAAACATCCCATGTTCTTTTCAGTTGTGGTGATCTAGAGTTATCGTCACGTTAAGAACCACTGCCTTTAGTGATTTTATATTAACTGAACATAGATGTTCAAGTTTGATTAACAAAAATGTAGGATTGAAAGATTGCCGTACCTTTTAGCTGTCCTATAAAAATTTTAAGTAGATGTTTAATGAATTTTTCTCCCTCTTTTTACCAAACTTACATTGGTTAGTATATTTCATATGTGGAGAGTGAAAACTAAAGAGTTATTTTGACTTATTTTTGAAAGTACTATTTAGTATAGTGCTATCAAATGGCTGAAAAGCCATATGGAAGGAAAAATGAACTACTTCAACTTTCTAGAAGAAAAGAGAATTTGGTTAGCATAACTTAAGAGGCACAGAAAAGAAAATTTTGATGGCAACAGAAAAAATAATTTCCTTGTCTTTTTTTCTTATTGCTTGCTTTTAGAAATGCTTAAGTAGGATATATTTACGAGGAAGAACTGAAGAGCAAGACATTCCTCTTGAATATTTAGAGAAGCTTCATTATAAACATGAAAGTTGGCTCCTGCATAGAACACTGAAGTAAGACTTCCTTATTCTTATTTATTATTCATTTTGAATAAATACCTAAATCAAATTTTAATCTAAAATTTGGAAGATGTGAATAGCAACTTGTAAAGTTTTTCATTTTTAATCATTTGTTTACTGATATCTTCTAGAATTAGTTTGGATTTTGATTCTCTTTTTTTTTTTTAATCTTTTTTTTTTTTTAAATATTTATTTATTTTTTAGTTTTTGGCGGACACAACATCTTTGTTTGTATGTGGTGCTGAGGATCGAACCCAGGCCACACGCATGCCAGGCGAGCGCACTACCGCTTGAGCCACATCCCTGGCCCCAAGGATTTTGATTCTCTTGATTGTAATGAGATCTCATTTCCTTGAAGATTTTTTTTTTCTTTTTCCTTTTCCTTTTTGTGGTGCTAGGGATTGAACCCAGAGCCTTGTACATTCGAGGCAAGCACTCTACCAACTGAGCTATAAAGGCAAGCATTCTACCAACTGAGCTATATCCCCAGCCCTCTTTGAGGTTTTTATAACTAGTGTCACCTAGTTACAAAATTGCATTTCATTCAATTGATTAAGAATTTATCTCTTTGTGCCTTACGTAGGTACTCTCTTTTAGAAATAATTTTTAAGATGCAGCAAGCAGTCCCCCCCTTATCTGATATTTTGCTTTCTATAGTTTCAGTTACCTAGCATATTAAATGGGAAATTTCAGAAATAAACAATTCAGAAGTTTAAAATTGCTCACCAAGCCAGGTGTGCAAGTAAGTTCCAGCTACTCAGAGGCTGAGGCAGGAGAATTGTTTAAGCCCAGAAGTTTGACACCAATCTGAGCAACATAGTGAAACTCAGTATCAAAAATTAAAATATTGTTTACCATCCTGAGTAGTGTTATGAAATCTTGTGCTGTCTTGCCCTGTCCTATCTCATCTGGTACAGCACAGACCTGAGTCATCCCTTATGACCTGCCTGATAGTCATTTAATTGCCATCTCTGTTATTAAATCAACTGTCATAGTATCATGGTACTTGTGATCAAGTTACCCTTGTTTTACTTACTAATGGCCCTAGACTCCATGAGTTATGAATGATACTTGAATTTGAGATATGCCAAAGAAAAGCCATTAAGAGCTTCCTTTAAGTGGAAAAATGAAAATTTTCAATTTAATAAGGAAAGAGGGTTTTGAAAAAATCCACTTTTAAGATAGAAAAAGCAGGGGCTGTGGTTATAGGTCAGTGGTAGCATGTGTGAGGTGCTGGGTCCTCACATCATATAAAAATAAATAAATAAAATAAAGGTATTTTAAAGAGAGAAAAATCATTAAATTTGTATATGCGAGTATAAGAAAAAAACATAGTATGTAGGATTTGTATATCTGTATTTTTAGGAATTTAGTGGAAGACTTGGAATGTGTCCTTAATCGAATGGGAGGACTAATGTAATATTTTTCAAGTTTGTTTCATGAAACATGACTTAAGAGGTAATAAAGCATAGTTGTTAAGTTAAATACATAGACTTTGTCCTTACTCAGCTTTTGACTCAAGTCCAGTCTCACTTATTGATACATAACCTTAGATAGTCTTTGAGTTTCAGAAAGACTTCTATAAGACTTTTCCTTTTTTTTTTTTTTTTTTTGGCAGTTCTAAGGATCAAACCAAGGATGTTACATATGCTATGCAAGTGCTCTACCTCTAAGCTACATCCCCAGTCCTCCTCATCTTTAAAATACAAAAATTTCTTTTTTTTTTTCTGGTAGCAAGGATGCTTACCCATTAAGCCACATCCACAGCCCTTTTTAAATGTTGAGACAGGGTCTCACTAAGTTGCTTAGGTCTTTGCTAAGTTGCTGAGGTTGGCTTTGAACTTGTGATCCTCCTGCCTCCGCCTCCTGAGCCACTGGGATTACTGGCATGTGCCACTACACCCAGCTTAAGATGAAAAAATTTCTAATTTATCCTATTTTTTGTTTGAGAATCATATGTCACAGTGCCTATATGTTCTTACATCTTAATTCTTTCTTTACCTACAGTAAGTCTATATGAGAAGAAAGAGGCTACTGGTTGATAATTTTAGTGTAAAATGTTGATAGTATTTTGATTTTTCATTGATAAAGGGCTGCAGATATAGCTCAATGGTAGAGCACTTGCTTACAATGTGCAAAGCCCTGGTTTGGCACTACCAAAAAAAATGCATTTAAAAATTTTCTCTTTCATTCCTTTTCTAACTTTGTTCACCTCTCTCCTTTTAAACAGAACAAATTTTGATTATCTACAAGAGGTGCCTATCTTAACACTGGATGTTAATGAAGACTTTAAGGACAAACATGAAAGTCTGGTTGAAAAGGTAGATTTAGACAAAAACTATAAACTAATATTTGTTTGCCTTACTTAAAACAGTAGTAAAAACTTCAGAAACTTTTTGAACAGGAAGCTTATATAAAGTTGCCTTAAGAGACAGCTTTAGAGGGCTGTAGAGTATTTAGATTTAAATCCTGACTAAATTCTAGTTTTGTAGCCTGAAGAATCTTGTTTGTCTTTTTCTTTCTCTGTAAGACAGGGATAATTGCAGTGATATGTTCTTTCTCACCTCCTTCCCTGCTTCTTTCCCTTTTGTTCCCCTTTATTCACACCACCAATATTTAGGTGAATTAATAATAAACTGCTTATAAAATTAAACTTTTTTCAACTAAATTCAATATGGAGGATATTCACAGTGGAAGCATATGGACTTCATTTTTAGCTGAAGTTTTGAGATTAAGAGATTATTTTGAGTTTTGATGGAACCATGTTAAGGGTGAACTGACATTGCCTAAGATAATAACAATAATAATTGTTATTATTATTATCTTATTCAAAATTATTTTTTTCTCTGATAATTGGAAATTGATCGTATTAAGTGAGTGGTGCCATATTGATAAAGGAATGGGGAGAGAATTGTCAATAAACATTTGAGCCAATAGTAGGGGTAATTATATAGGAAATGTTCCTATACCCACATGAATAATCTTGGTGATCTGAGGTCTAAAGAGGAACCACAATTTTTTTGTTGTTTAGTTTTGGGAGCATCTTTGACTTTTTTCTTTCTCTTGTCACAGAATGTCAGCTGTTTATTATAAATAGGGATTTGATATTTTTAAGGGAGTATATAGTTGTTATATGTTTTCCCCATCATATGATGTAAAACGTATCTGTAAAATTTAAGTGACTTTTTCTTACTATTAGTAATGTCAAAAATATAGGATAAAATTCATTTCTGATAATATTAAAATTGTCATTGTACTAACAGCTAAACATCAATATTAGTGAGTCTGTAAATCTACTTGTTAATTTTATCTAACTCTTTGTTTTGACTAGAATCATTTTATATTATTATTTATCTTTATTTTTATTAATATTATTAACAGTTGTCTTTCTTTTTTTAGGTATGTTTACAAGGCAATAACCTCTGTCTTTTCAGGAGAATTTTTGTGTAGTCTAGAATACGTAGAGATTGAGAGTCCTGCATTGTGGTGTTGTTCAATTAGCTAGGTTCAACTCAGAACTTATATAACTTTCTCAGTACACTAACATTGCATAGTATGACAGAAATTTGTGCTTAAGAAATATTACGTATCTACTCCCTGATTTTCAAAGCTTGTTTAAACTATTGTGATTATTATTAAAGCTACACACATTGCTGTTCTTTGGTATTTGAATAAAGGGATAAAACTAGTGTTATGGCTGTTTAGAACTGCATCAATCTTAGATATAAATTAAGTAGTTCCTATAATGACCTTTTAGGTCATTGATCTTTTACTACAGAAGTATTTAATAATATTTCTTTGGGAAATAAATGGTATGGTATTGTCATAAAGTTACTAATATATTTGGGGTCTTCAGCTTTTACATACACTTTAATGAAGACAAATATTAGATATTTCAAATTAGTTAAAAAATTATGTTAATATTTTTTTTCTTCCCTCAGGTCAAAGAATTTTTGAGTAGTTTGTGATCTTGCCGAAGACTCGAGATAGCCCATTGTTTCCAAATACTTCAGCTTTATGTGTCTTCATAGCTCAATATTCATAAGACTCAAGTTTTTAACCTTTTTTTTCTTCAAGAAAAAGTGTTTTTGTGTGTTTTATGAATCCTATGTAAAACTTTCTCTCCCTTCCTCCCTTCCTTTCTTCAATAGTTCAAAAATCAAAGATGTTTAATTATCTCTTATAACAGGAAGTCTGGAGGTAGATGGTTCCAAAATCTGAATAGTGGTTCAACTATATTATAAAAGACCTAGCCTCCTCCTGTCTTGTCCCTCTGTCATCTTCCACCGGTTAACATTTTCCTATAGTGTTTTTCACCTCAGGGTTGACCAGTTTCTTAACTGGAAGCATTAATGTTACAGAGTAAATCATGTGTAAATTAAATTATTGTACCTATTAAAAGTTGAAAAATAGAATTTCAGAATTCCTTGAATAAGGATTCTGAAGTGAGTTTTGTTTTGTTTTAATTTTTGTTTGTTTATTTTGTTTTATTTCTAGAGGTGCTAGGGGTCAAACTAAGGATTTCATGCATATTAGGCAAGTGCTCTACAGAGTTGTATATCTAGCTCCTGAAGTTTTATTTGGAATGTTTTTGATCAGGTGCCTCTCTTTCCATCCTAATTTATGTTAAAGATAAAACTAAGTTTAGTATTTAATCACTTGATATTTATCAATGTATCTATAATACATTTACAGGGAAGCAAGTTAGACCTGATTCCCAGTTTGGTAATGACATAACCTATTTTATAAATCATTTCACCTTTTACCTTTGTTTCTGCATCTGTGATCCATTTTTATTTTTACATGGGATTTTAGATGATTGAGGAGAAAATTTTTGTATCTTTAAAAGATAGCTGAAAAGTTATTACCTGAGTATAAAGATTCAGTTTACCAGGAGTTTAAAATAGCTACCTGCTTTTCCCTTCTCAGACTATTGTTTTAGAAATGAAAATTCTTATTACAGTTAAGAGATTTACTTAAACTATGTTTTTCCTTAATAATTAGGTGGAAGTGTAGTTTTTCTTAAATTTCTTTTCATTTTTATATCTTTTGTTGTGTCTATGTGTGTGTGGTGCTAGGGATTGAACCTAGGGCCATATTCACACTAGGCAAGTACCCTACCACTAGAGTACACTCCTCTTTTCATTTTTGTAGGAAATATTAGTAGAACATAGTGAATGATAAGTTTTTCTATTTTCTTTATTGTTCCTGCAGTGGAAATGATTAGTTTTTGTCTGTCTGCTTGGTGAGTATTCAAACGAGAAACTGAAGCCAAAGTGGAGTATCTTAGCAATTTTGTCTGTTTAACCTCACCTCTTATTTCTTGCCTCATTCTTCTTTCCCTACTTTCTGAATTAATTAGGCAGCATGCTAGTTCCAGTTTTAAATAAATCATGTATTTCTACTTTGAAAACATTATTATTGCTTTTTGCTCCACAGTTTGCTTTGGTTTGTAGAATTTTGACCTAAGTTTTTTGTACCTTTCAGAGAAATCACAAAAATGATTTTGCTTTATATGTAATATATCATGAAATAATTATCATTTTTTAATTGAACTAAGGAATAAAATTAACAAAACTTCCTTAATAAGGCACACTTCTCTCTAAACTACTTATGTGAGTAGTTGTAAAACTTTGCATGTATTCATCTTAAGTCTGTATATAAATAAAGAGGTTTTTTTTTTCCCCCCTAGATATTTAAGTTAAAGTATGCAGGTTTTTTCCCATGTAATTAACCTTTCTATTTTATACTTTAGAAAAATTGTACATTTTTTTGAAATGAGAGGAAGAGTTACTTATTTTAAAATTGTAGTTTTCTTTTTATGTCACTTTTTGCTTTTGGTTTCTTGTTGAAAGGTGATAATTCAGTGGATTAACCAATCCTGATGCACTGATGTTTGATTAGGGGACTTGATTTCAAATCAGTAATAACCATAAATACTTAAATTGTATCATGATATGTGTGAGCTTTTGGTTGTTTGGTATAAATGAATTTGTCTATTGACTTATGTGTCAATAAGTAAGTTTGAATTTCACAGACTGCTGAAGTTAAACTTATTAAAATGATTACATCTTTTTTTTTTAGAATTTACATTCTACTTTTGAATAAAAAATTATGAATTTAAAAAGTTGAAAGTGGTCTATAAATTACATTGATTTTATTATGAAGCTTATAATTCAGTATTCTTCGCTGACCTTTAAAAATGTTTAATGATTTTTAATTTGTGGAATTGAAAAGATGCTAATAAAAATGTATTTCTTTGTCATGAATAAACAGTTGTACTAGTGTGATAGGTTCTAAGAATTAAGCCTAAATAAAGATGATATCCCTTAAAAAAAAAAAAAGGAATTGAGCTTAGTGGTCTGAATTACTTCTTGAATCAAATCTTATCTTCCATTGGAGTATATGTATTAATTTTTTAGAAAAATAAATTTTTAGTTGTAGATGGACACAATAATTTTTTTTTTCATTTTTTTTATGTGGTGCTGAGGATAGAACCCAATGTCTCACGTGTGCTAGGCAAGTGCTCTACTGAGCCACATCCTCAGTCTATGTATTTTAATAACTTTCTCTTCCATGAAGGTAACGTATAAGACTTGTTTTCGTCATCCAGAATTTTCTCTTCTGCTATGCCTGAAGCTTAGAATATTATATCCTGAGCCACCTAGATATTTTAGGTGTCATATTTTAAAGAACAGAGTTCCAAATGTTTTTAAAAATGGAGATATAAATTTTATTACCTCCAGAAAATTGCTAGCTAAATTAAAACATTAAAGGGTTTATAAATTTTGGGGATGAGGGTGTAGCTCAGTGGGAGACCACATGCTTAGCATGTGCGAAGCCCTGGGTACAATCCTCAGCACCAAAAAGAAAAAGAAGTTGACAAATCTTAGTAAATAATAATCTACACATAACAAAATTTTCTCTCTTTTAAAAATTTCTTTGGAAGAATTTTAGAGTCACAAAAGTTGCAGAAATATAGTTTTTGTGTACCAATCATTGAGCTTCCTCCAATGATAACACTTTATTTAACCATTGTATATTAAAAAGACAAATTAATTTTGGTGCACTAAAAACTACAGACCTAGTTTGGATTTTCCCTTTTTAAAAAAATCTGTACACGTGGTAAATGGGAGTTCATAACCCACTTGAATCAAATGTATGAAATATGATATGTCAAGAGCATTGTAATGTTTTGAGCAACCAATAAAAAAATAAAAAAAATCAGTAAACATTAAAAAATAAAATTTTAAAAGAACAGTTTTAGGTTCACAGCAAAATTGAGCAGAAAATGAGAGTTCTCAGATAATCTCTTTACCCTTTACAGTTCGCCCCCACTATCAGCATCTACCAGAGTTGGTATATTTGTTATAACTGATGCACCTACTTTGATACATCATTTTCATCCAAAGTCCAGTGTTTATATTAGGGTTAATATTTTTTAATTGGTAGTTGTAGATGGACAGAATGCCTTTATTTTATTTGTTTATTTTTACGTGGTGCTGAGGATCGAACCTAGTGCCTCAAACATGCTAGGCAAGCACTCTGCCACTGAGCTACAACCCCAGCCCTAGGGTTCATTTTGGTCAAATATATTCTATGGGTTTGATAAACATGTATCTACCATTTCTTCACTGCCCTAAAAAAACTCTTATCTGTTCGCTCCTCCCAACCCTGCTAAACACTAATCTTTTTACTGTTTCCATAGTTTTACCTTTTCTAGAAGTTGGAATCATATGATATGTAGCCTTTTCAGGTTGGCTTCATTCATTTAGTAATATATATTTAGTTTTTCTGTCTTTTCATATCTTGATAGCTCATTTCTTTTTAGGGCTGAGTAATCTTCCGTTGTCTGGATATATCAAATTATCCACTTACCTACTGAAGGACATCTTTGTTTCCAAATTTTGGCAGTTTGGGATAATGTTGCTATAAACACCAATTTGTGGATTTTTGTGTGGGCATCAGTTTTCAGTTCCTTTAGGTAAATATCAAGGAGCCCAATTGCTTGATTGCATGGTAAAGATATTTTTAGTTTATTGTTTTATAAGAAACTGCCAAACCATCTTCCAAACTGGTTATCCTGTCTTGAGTTTTCACTAGCAATGAATTTGAGTACCTGCTCCTCCACATTCTTTTCAGCTTTTGCCCTCATCAGTGGGTTTTGTGGTTTTTTTTTTTCTTCTTTTCCTTCTCTCTCTTTTCTCTCTCCCTCCTTCCCTCCCCCCTTCCTCTGCTTCCTTCCTTCCTTTCTTTTTCAGTGTTGGAGATTGAAGCCTCATGGACACTAGGCAAGTCTACTGACCTTTATTCCAACCTGGATTTTGGCCATTTTTATGGGTCTGGACATTATCTTGTCTTAAGATGTTGAGCATCTTTTCACGTTCTTTCTTGCCAATTGTATGTCTTTTTTGGTGAGGTGTCTATTTAGGTCTATTTGCCCATTTATTAATTGGATTCATTTTCTGATTGTTGACTTTTAAAAGTATAGGTATTAGATAACATTCCTTTATCAGATTTTTTTGGAAGCATTTTTTTACCTGTTCTGTGATTTGTCTTCCCATTTTCCTAATGTTCTTGATGTTCTTTCACAGAACAGAGGTTCTTAATAAGGTCCTCTTTACGAGTTATTTCTTTCATAGATAGTGCTTTTGGTGTTTTAAGTAAAAAGTTACTGTTCTACCTAATACCTAAGGTCATTGAATTATCTTCTAGGAATTTTATAGATTTTAATTTTACATTTAATTCTTTGAGTTAATTTTTAAAATGTTATAATTTCTATGTCTAGGTTTTGTTTTCTTTTTTCTTTTTGTTTGTGGATGTCTGATCTGGGCACCATTTGTTGAGAAGATTGTTCCATTGTATTGTTTTTGCTCTTTTGTTGGAGATCAGTTAACCTTATTTTATATGGATCTCTTTCGGGGCTTATCTTTCTATTCCATTGGTTTATTTATTTAATCTTTTGCCAATACCACACTGTTGTTTATTGTAGCTGTACAGTAAGTCTTGAAGTGCCTTAGTGTCAGTTTTCCAACTTTGTCTCAGTGTTGACTTGCCTATTCTGAGATTTTTGCTTTTCTGCATAAATTTTGAAATCAGTTTATCATTATCTGCAAAACAAGTTGCTGGGATTATTGATTAGAATTTTGTTGAATGCATACATCAGGTTGGGAAGTACTGCCATCTTTTTTTTTTTTTAATCTTTATTTTTTATGTGATGCTGAGGATCAAGCCCCAATGCCTCACGCATGCCAGGCGAGCACTCTACTTCTGAGCCACAACCCCAGCCCAGTACTGCCATCTTTACAGTATTGATTTGTCCTGTTCACAAACATGGAATATCTCCATGTATTTAGTTCTTTGGCATTTTTCATAAGAATTTTGTAGTTTTCCTTGGTATAGATCTTGTATATACATTGTTAGATTCATACCTAAGTATTTTGTTTTATTTTTAAGGTGCTGAAGTATAGTGTTCCACTTGTTCGTTGTTGATCTGTAGGCAAGCAGTTGACTTTTGGTGTATTAATCTTGTATCCTGCAGTCTTTTACTATATCACTTGTTTGTTTTAGGAACTTTTTGTTGTTTCTTTTGGCTTTTCCACTTAGATGCTCTCATCATCTGTGAGCAGATATATTTTTATTTTTATTTAATTCTTTCCAATCTGTATACCTTTTATTTCTTTTTCTTGTTGCATTACATCAGCTAGGACTTCAGTATGATATTGAAAAGTACAGTGGTGAGGGGATACATTCTTGTATTGTTTTTTATCTTAATAGGACTACTTTGAGTTTGTTACCCTTAATATAATGTTTGCAGGTACTTTGTAGATGTTCTCCATTAAGTTGAGGAAGATTCCCATCTATTTCTATTTTGCTGAGTATTTTTGTTAAATCCTTGCATTTAAAAAAATAGCTTTATTATATATATATATATATATATATATATATATATATATATATATATATTGCTGAGAATTGAACCCAGGGCCTCACACATGCCAGGCAAGAGCTCTACCACTGAACCACAACTCCAGCCCAGCTTCTCATAGATTTTCAAATGTTGAATCAGCCT